TCAACTAAAAAGAAGCGGAGGAAGTATAAAAGCTTGAAATATTATAGTAATGGCCAATGGGTACGTGGGGCACATAGCAATGTAGCATGGGGATGGGGAATCAATGTTTTGTTTGTGAGAAAAGCTGTTAATTAATTATTTTCGGTGTTGGTAAAGGTGGTAGATTTACATATATTAGAAAATAAATAAAAAGTAGGAATATGATGAGGAAAATGATGGAAAATATAGAGTGGATGGGAGTAGGTGAGTTTTGAAGTGGAAGAAAATGATAAAAGCTTCAAAAGTGGGACAAATAGACTAGTGTTTTGGGTTGGCAGTGGTTGGTGGATTTTGCTTTTGATTTACTTATTATAGTGTATAATTATAAAATTTATCGTGATTTCGGCTTCATTAATGATAGAGCATATATAGGGCTTCAACCATCAGCTACAAAATCAATATATTCGATTAGATTTATCTCATTCAAAAATTGTTATTTTTTAAATTTTGATCAGGTAAAGAACTGTTGAGAGTAACATAATACAGAGTATTCATTTAGATCCGTTTATAATAATATAATAAATTCGACAGCACAATATAAAATACTCCGTAATATATAAGGTAATTTCAGTAGGAAGGAGAGAGTATGAAACTATGAATGAGTTGATCCAAAAATATCCAAATATTCCTTAAGTTTGTGGAAATGGAGTTCTCTAGATTTGAGTGCATATCAGAGCATAGCAGCTATTGACAAACGAAGTGTATAGGAGGGCAAAAGCGTAATTTACCAGGCATTAGAAAACTTGAATATTCCACTTAACTGTGCTAGTGATACATTTATTATTCCGAAAATGTACCACTGAAATCACATTGGTACATTTAATCAAAGTGGTATGTACGTTTTGTACTTTGAATTGTACCACTAGAAAATCAGTACCATCCTATACACTTTCTAAGCACATAAGTGCTATGCGCTAATACTCCAAGTCAAATATGGTTGCCTATTTCAATTACAAGTAGCTTGTTCCTCCTCTTGTCAAAAGCCAAAGTTGACCTCAATTTCATCACATTCGTACGAACAAATTTTGTGTGTTTGGTGTTACATATGTACGTCGTCATATAAATTACTTTTTATCTTTCGGTGTTTTCAATATACTCCGTAGTTTAGTACAAACTTTTTACAAAGTACTAAATTTGATTTGTACATGTAGCGTAGGATTTTTGTCACTAATTATCAGACATTTTATGTTTGATTATGGTGTAATATATATGTATACTGTATAGGGTCATAAATCATTTTCATTTGTATCAAAAATGAGATTTAGGCTTGACTCACGTAATAAAAAAATTAATTACTCTCAGTTGCATGAGGTGTGGAGTTTGAATAATCTTATCACATTAGGGTGATTTAGGGTTTTTATAACCTTAATCGCCTTCTATTAGTACTATTGATTTAATTTTATAAATATATCATATTTATTTTTATAATTTATTTATTTTTCCTAATGTTTAATTTGAATATAATTAAGGTTATTAATAGCTAAAGTTAGTGCTTTCATTCGAAAATCGTAAAAGTCAAACTAGTACAATGCTTATCATCATTCATTAATATACTTCGAGATAAACTAAACTAATTGTCAAAGTTTGAAACAAAGTAGAGACACTTTTTTTTTCTTTTTTTTAGGGGGGAGGTGACAATAGGAGCAATTAGCTAGGCTTCATTGCATGTGTGTGTATTTTTTTTTATTTTCAAATTGACAGATAAAATTCCATAACAACTTACCAGTCATCTTATTCTAAAAATGACGGTCTATTTATTTTATCAAGAAAATTGAAGGAGTGCAAGTCAAAACTTGATAAAATGATGACCATTAATTAAATAGGGCTGTTTCTTGACAGTTGAGCTATATATGGTTTTAATTTAATATTGTTGTTGATATTTGATTTGGGTTATTTAATTATTTTTCCTTTAATTCCTTACATTGGAAAATTTATGCTTGTTGTTACAATCTTGACATTTTGGCTAATTGTTCTCTAACTTATTAATGTGTGAACCTTAGACAACTCTAGTTGCCATCAAATTAAATGTTCGAGCTATCTTTATTGGAACGGCCCGAAATCGGGTTATATGTTGAACTTGTATTTGTGGTAGGACTGACCATGATTAGCTCTACAAGCGGCTAAGAGATAATTTTGTGGCTAGCTTGAACTAGTTGAGGCTTAATAATTATAGAATTGATGAACTTTAGGATTCTCAATTCAATAAGGTTGTTGTAGAGGTTATACTTAGTTTAATTGTTTCAGATCTTATCTTTTCTTTTCCATGCTTTCAGCATGGACAACAATATTTTAAAGAATGCCATAACACAAAGTATTGAGTGAGTCCGTTTCACCATAAGTCTTCCCACCAAAAACTAACATATAGATCCAATAATTTATATAAACTTTTTAAAAATTAATATGAACTGAAACGTTAAAAAACTTATACATAAATTTTAAAAGTTGAGAAAACAAAAAACTTAAATGAAATTATCAGATAGCTTACATCCGTCTTATTGTGAATTCGGACTCACACATAAATTTTCAAGCTATAATGATATTATTGGTTTTCTTTCTCATATTATATAAAAAATATGAATATTAGATGTTATTAGGTTAAAGGTTGTTGGATTATTCTTAAAATGTATTTTCAATTATTCTTTTACTTATTATAATTTTTATTGATAGAGCGAGATTTAAAAATATTATAATTAAATTTCTTATTAATTAAGGTAAAAAAACAAATTTGGAGCGAATGTAATGAAGCCATACATGTTTTACCAATTTCTTAAAGGTACTTTATATGTGGTTGCATGTTTTTCCAATTTGAAAAAGAAGTACATACTTTGTATATGGTTGTTGAGTCAAGCTTGATATTGGAGGTGTATAGTAGAGAATCTAAGTCATACGTAGTATATGATATTGTGCTATGAATGTATGACAAAGTTACATATATAAATTTGAATGAGACATGAGTTTGTTAAATCAACAAATTATTATTTAAAAAGAAGCGAGTCTAAAGTAGTCATTTAATATTTTACGTATATTTTAAATTAATACTTCTTATTAAACAAGAATGTATAACAACATCGTATATCAATTAATGTATAATTATATGCAAAAAAAAAAATAAATAAATAAATTAATGTATAATTAATATTTGATTTTAACTTAATATTATAACGTTTGGCACATTGTGTACATATCGTTTTCTTTAAACTGTAGAACACATTATCACTACAATTAGGTAGCGGAATAAAGTGGATAACAACATGCTAGAATAACTTGCCAAGTATTTTCAATCAAGGACAATTAAGTGAAATTGGCTTAATTTTACATGCCCCAAACAACTAATCGATCATAGTCGTGTTATTCTCTCTTTTTGACTAAACAATAAATTTAAAACGCTACAAATTAAGAAAAGTTAACTTGCACTCTGCCAAACTAGTCTTACTTGCATGTATAATTAAGTTTAGAGTACCTAATTAGTAAGAACCTAACACAATTTATAATCTTAGAAAAAAAATTAATCAATTTGATGTTAGTCAATCGATATTCACCTACTACTACATATGTCCCATTCAATAGTCTTGATGGGTGGTGTAAAACAATTGTTGGATGTAGAAAGTCTTCTTACTAAAAAATAATTCTTCCGTTTATATAGATAAGATACTTTTGTTTTTTTAGAACAAGCACTTTTGTTACACAACTACATATTGTTTTTTTACTATATTTGGTGATTTATATAAGAAATAAAATGACGAGGTCTTATTAGATTCACTAAGTATTTATTTTTAAACAGTTTTTTATATACTTTTTTTTTACTTGTTGATAATTAATGATATTATTTAAAGTTATAGAATTATATTCTTCTTTTGCTATGTTTGATGGTTTATAATTATGACTTTGATTCTTGTTAGATTCGCTCTACATATATACTTTCAATTTTTTTTTTCCTTTTAATTAAAGTTATTAACATTATTGTAAGACCCTGTTCACTTCACCTTATTTTTACTGAACTGAAATTATTTTTACTGAACTGAAATTAGTTTAGTTGAACTTAAATTATTTTTACTGAGCTGAAATTATTTTTATTGAATTTCTATTATATTTCCTCTTTAAAAATACTGAATTTTACGGAACTGAACTTATTTTTACTGAACTGAAATTATTATTACTTAATATTATTTTTTTAAGGTGAAATAAACAGGGCCTAAGTTACAAAGTTACGTATTTGCACACATAAAAAGAAATCGTTTCATTTAAAAGCGGAGGTATTAGAAAAATACCATTATTTTGACTATTGTTGATTTCTTTCCCAATCCTTTTCAAAATTAATAAAAATTGATTCCACTTTAGATTTTTCAACTATACTTCATAATTAAGTGTCATTTTCTAAATCTGATTAGTGTTTTTGGGTTGTTCACTTAACCTTGGTCTAGTATGTGGAGTGATGGTTCATTCAAATTTGACATATTTATCCTTCTTTTGTACTCTCCCACCGTTCCATTTTAACGAGCACTGTTTTCTCCAAGAGACAAAGGCTCTTGTTGGCTCCAAGCAACATCATTGGGCCAAGCCGAGTACAAGCCCATACTATAGGGAAAACGACACATTCACTCACTGTTTATCTCAATTACTACTTACCAGTATTCTAGTAGTTGGCAAACACAATCCTCATGTTCTTTTTCAACTAATTATAATATGTAATTTTACACATTTGTACGCTGTTACCATAGCACATTTTACCTCACTAACGTTATAAATTTCTACTCGTAAAAAAGCTTGGAAATCTTATTACAAGCAGTATATATATGATTAATTGAGATTAACATACACTGAGTAGTAAGAATCTAGGACCATTCATTAATTTAAACTTATAGTATGGTCTAACTTTGAGTTTAATTTTAAAAATAACACTAAATAGATGCATTCGTAACATATAATGTTCAAGTTTCGCTTTTTTTTTTTTTTTTTTCATCCAAATCTTACGTACGTAGTACTATATAAAATTTGTAGAGCAACGTACAAAATGTTTAATTAATCAGAAAAGAGCATATACGTCTTAAATATATAGTTTTCATTGATAACACCATTCGTGTATTAAATGTTACTGTATGATAATCTTTGATGAGATTATTAAGATGTAACAGCAAAAATTTAGATACAAATAAACAAATTTAATTCATTTTTGAAATCATTGTACCAAACAATTGAGCTTGGTACAAAGCATGCTCCTTTTGTTTAGTCTTAATCATCTGATACACAAGCTTGATGTCCCTGTTAATCCAACGTAATTAAGTAAGAAACTGTCATTTTTTGGTACAAGAAAACATGATTAGTGTGTAATAATGAGGTTTGGAGATAATTAATTAATAATATAATACAAGTACCTATTATTTGGATCAATTGTCAAAGCTCTTCTGCTATCAGCTTCAGCTTTGTCTAAATCAGAAGTGTGCAAATATGCTTGAGCTCTTCTAAATAAAGCCTTTGTGTTAACTTGATCAATCTCTAAAACCTACCACATTATATCCAAATATCGATTAGTTAGACTTAATTTCAATTAGCATTAATATAAATATGTCAAACCTAAGTGTCTAAAACGAGTAAAGTTGTGGAAAGTTGAATGATTTCCATAAATGAAATTCACCTTTAAATAGTCCTAGTGTATAACCACGATATACACAAGCCAAAAAATAGATACTAGGGAAATATATACTTGTAGGTTATAAGTTGTAGCCCATTGCATTTCTGTTGTTAACACGTTAAGAGTTTTCCTCGTGAGAAGAGTCCTATACTGTATTATTGCTAAAGTTAAAGAATATACGTGGTTTGTTAAAATATTGTACTTCGTATATAGCTTTATTTCCTGGGGTTGTTTTGATATAAAACTGGAGCAAAATATGCCATTTAGGCTGCCAATTCCTTGCTCAAATGGATACTTTTTAATGTTTTAAGACTAGTTTTAGCCTTAAACCAGTGTAGCATGGCTTGATTTTACCGAGTATAGGCCAAGTTTTTTTGGGTGTGATCCGAGCCATGATCAACTCCACACAAGATTGATTAGTAAAAAAAAGGTTAGAAGCTTAGAACAGACCTTAGTGCATAGTGTTGCAGCTCCAACATAGTCCTCCAATTTAAGTTTACAAGCTGCATTATTTAGATTGCAAGATGATAGCAGCGCCTTTGTTTGTTGCTTTTCCTCGTCTGAGAAATTGTGGTTGAATTCAATACATTTTACAGCCTGCATACAAAGTGTACACCAGATTACTTGAGTAAATTTCCTATCAGAAAACTATTGTTAATTAAGTTGTTAAGTAAATAATACTTGTATTAATCACTAGATAAGTCAGATTTCTTGCCTTTTCATATTTCTTGGAAGCAAGCCAGAACTTCCCTGCTTTGAACAATGCATTTCCCTCTTGCTTCTTCTTCTCACACGCTTCAATCTTCTCCTGCTTGTCCATCTTCCAGACAGGTTTATCCTGCAGAACTTCCTTGCCTTAAGCAATAGCATAATGCATTTTATTTGGATTTTTCATTTTAAATTAAAGTGGTGTAGATAAACTTTCAGATTTTTTTCCTTGTTTGTGCTAGACAGGAGAATGTGGTAGACTCGGCTATTTTGAAGATAAATGTGAGATCACATTAGTGATCTTCCCCATCTAATCCCTATGATATACGAGTGTCATGGATCCTTGTGGTGAAATGAAGAGTCCGAGTAACATAGGTCACCCCACTACTTATAGTTACCTAGGACTTAAAAGTTGCAAGGGTGCGTTTTTACCTTGGTGAAATCAAGCAGCTCAACCTCATATATAACTTTTGGATTAGCAAAAACTGTATCTGATGCTTCAGGAGTTCCTTGCACATGATCAGAAAACACTAACACTTGGGACTTTTCTCCCTTTTTCATAGTCATTATTGCTTTGTCTAAGCTCTCCTCAACTTGATCTGTTACAAAATATGACAAGCAAATTAGCATCAGATTTTGAAGACATATTGTGATGTATACATGTATTTGTAATGTACCTTCTAAGCACATATACTCGAATGGCTCTTCGTTAGACCCTTTTAGCTCGAAAATTTCTCCATCTTCTCGCTTGCCAACATATATCACTGTGAAATTGCCAATCAAGCTTAAGAATTTAGACTGTAAATCCTAATCATAGTAATCAAAAGATGTGATGCTCGAAAAGTTCAGCACCTTTTACTAAAGAACCCTCATTCGGATATACAAAACCTTCCCCTGCAGAAATAACCTTCTTTAGGATCTTTTTGTCCCCTAGGACATCCACAACACTTCTCCAAGATAACAACTCAAGAAGGATGGTTATGTTGGAGCTTCGGGTGCTTGTTATGGCTTCTTCGCGTCCAAATTCTACTTCAAACCCATCTATAAATCTATCTTAAAGTTGGTGTATGATCTTGTCGAAGAATTAAGCATTACATAATTACATTACCATAGGAAAATATGTTGTTCGAAGATAACTTACAAGAGAATCTAACAGAGAGCTCTGCTTTTTCGTTCCTTCTCATTGTCTTCACTGCTTTATGGATGGCAGGACATAGCTTTCCTGTGAACATAATCCTGGTAACGACGTCTACTGACAATATGATTAAGTGAAATTTCAAATGAACTGTATGTGTCTGATTGAACTTACCATCGCCTACATGAAGTTGCACACTCTCGGAGTTAGAATGCACCATGCCATTTTCAAGCTTTGCTTCATACTTGACTAGCAACACAACGAGAACAACTTAAGTCTGAGTAATAAATCAATGTAACAAAAACCTTTTTTAGGTACACGTCGTATTAACTTGAACTTAATTTAAAAAGTGACCTATTACTTTGAAACATCTAACTATTTTTTGTAAACATGTGTTGGTTGGCATGAAGTAATAGACTAACAAAACTTGTGCACAAAATCATTCCTATCGCGTATGTTCACCTGAAACCTCATCACCATCTTTAGGAGTCGCCCATCCATCTCCTTCGGTTATGATCTTCTTTAGTACTCCTCCATCCCTCGTAATATCCCTTATGGTGCTCCAAGACATCATCTCAACATCAAAGATAACGGTTGAATGAGGCGGAATGAGAGGTGGAAAACCGGCCTCTCCATAGGCTAAATGAGGTGGTACCTTGAAAACGGCCTTCTCCCCTTTCTTCATAGTGACCACCCCTTCATCCAAGCCTTTTATAACTTCACCTGAAAGATCATAAATCTTCTCATTTGATGAGCAAAATGAATGCTTTAACATTCAAAATAAAACTAAGATACAATGCAAACCTTGTCCCAATTTGAACTTGAAAGGAGTGCCTTTTTCCTGACTTGATCCCAATGAAGAACCATTCTCAACGTGCCCACTGTAATGAACTGTTTAACACACTTAACAATGTAATTAAAACATATGGACATACATATACTTCGTACAAGTAGTTATAACTTATCGCTCTCTTAAGTTAAGAATATGAAATGATTTCACAGAAAATAATTTAGCTAATTACGTAGATATATAGATATCTAATCGTAATCTATTTTTTTCCTTACTAAGAATTGTGACAATACTTTTTTTTTTTTTTTCCCAAGACATCTAAGAGTAACATAAATATTCGGGTGATGACTAACTTACAAACATGTAATCACATTAATGTCGATCAATTTATTCTAGTTTTCAATTACCTAATTATTTTGTGATTAATTTTGGAAGTTGATGAAGGATAAATAATGAACTCTACATGTAAGAACAAAATAACACAATTCATTAAACATATTAGCATGGCTAGTTAGTGTAAAGTGCATAATATTAGTGTATCACACTAGAAAGTCAACAAGGTGAAATCAAATATTATTGTTTTAAACCAAAAATATAAATTAAAAGATAGTTTGTTGAGGAGTACCTTCAACTTCATCACCGGGAAATGGTGTTTGCCAAGAGTTTCCATGACGTAGAATCCTCTTGGTAAGTCCATGGTTGCCGATTTCTTTCTCGGCTAACGAAGAAGCTTGAGGTGGTTGTTCATGAGTTTGTGGGTTGGAAATGGTTGGGAGGGAGTCCTCCATGTTTGTTGAAACTGAGAAGGACAAGGAGATAAGCCGTTTGTTTCCCTCCTTTGGATTTTTTGTTTCAAGAAAGATTAAAAAAAAAAAATAAAGCAATAAATCTTTGTATTCATTGAACGACACCGTTCCAAATTTTACTATCTTATAAAATCATCTTAAGGTTGGGCCACAAATTGGTTTTAGTCTTGGGCTTAGGTTTGGGTTTGGGCCTGATCCTTTGATATAAAACATTTTGACAACTATAAGGCTTAGTAGAAAAACCGATGAGTAATGAGTACTCAGTTGGTTGCGTTAGGAATTCCTCTCGTGAGAGGGGTTCCTAACGTTTTTCTTATTTTTCTTACATTTAAAAAAAAAATGAAAAATGAGTACTCCGTATGTGATAGGAACATGACAAGATTATAAGGTTTTTGCGCTACTCCTTATCCCTTGCTTGGTGATCAATTTGATAAAGTTTGATTGAGTATGCTTAATGTAAAAATTTAGTATCATCACATGAAATTTTGTTGGATTTAAATTAACACGAGTTAATATTATATCTATATTTTATATTTTAGCTATGCATAACTAAATATATTCATATAAAAAATTGTCATAGGAGTTAAAGTGAAAAACTGTACATATGTTGCAAACTTACAATTAATTAAAATGAAGGAAGTATATATATGTTCATATTCGTAATCATATATAGTACTTGCTTTTAAGGGGTATTAACATTTACTCCTAACTTAACATTGCCATTAGCAAAAGACCAAACCAAGGCATCTCAAGACATGATAACGAAGGACGGACCAAAGCATGAATGAGATTCTTCCAGACACCAAATAGGCCTTTCATGTTCTTTGGGCATTTGGGAACCCCCGAAAGCACCTTTATGAAAAATCTTGACAGGTCAAGTAGTATTTTCCAGAAGCTAAATTTGAAAGCTATAATACACGAATTAGACTAATTTCGGAGATTTCGGGATACGGTGTAAAAAAATCTCGAGATTGTAGGGATTTATCCTAGAGTTGTATAATGTTGTTTGAAACCGTTTATGGTTAGTAGTCGGTCACATAATGACTCGTGGTGACCTTGAGTCGTCAAATTGACAATTTAAAGGTAAGGTGGATTGTTCCAACCACCTATATGGCCTCTTGGAGTATTATGGGATCCATGAAAAGCACTCAAGCTTGTCTCCTTTTTGGATTCGGAAAAGTTATAAATTGTCTAAAATTGAAGGTTGTAATCCACGCTTTTGGACCAATTTCAAAGATATCGAGACCCGGTATCCAAAACTCTTGAGATGGTAAGAGATGCATCCCAAGGTCATATAATGTAGTTTTGTACTATATATGACCAGTAGCTGGTCACATAACGGCCAATGGCGGCCTTGAGTTAATTATTAAGGGAGACGTGTACATAAACGACCAAATTGACTGTTTAAAGGGAAATTGGATGATTACAACCACCAAAATAGCCTCTCGACTTCTCGAAGTGTCGTCGGATCCATGGGAAGCACCCAACTTGTTTCCTATTCGGGTCCAGAAAAATAAAATATTTCCAAAACCAATACATGAAATTGGACTCATTTCGAAGGTTTTGGGACCCAATGTAGAAAACTCCTAAAATGATTGTAGGGGATGCATTCCAAGTTGTTTGGAACGTTATATGCTATCACTTAGCTAATTTTGCCAAGCATGATGATTTAAAGAAGCAAAATTAACTTCCAATTTCAATTAAACTAACTCTAAATAAAACCTTTTAGATCCTTAATCAATACTTAAAATTGATTACAATCCTAAAACAATTCTTTTTCACCCAGATGACAAATAGCTATTACAACACTTGGTTTATTAGATGCCTATCAAGAAGTAAAAAGGCTGTTGGACCTCAAACTCAAGAACACCTGGTCATTAGTTAGCCAGTTTAGTTCAATGGTCCGGCCCATTTACAGATTGTTTAACAAGCCAAATTTAAGGTCTTTTTTTTTTTGCATGAATTAAGTGTAGTAGGACTGTAGGAGTGTGTAATATTCTTTATTTTTGCTCATGGTAGAGTAGGTTGACTTTCAACTTGTAGTTAGCTTGAAGAAGAAACAAAATTAATTTAGAACATGTTATCTTCACATGAAACAAACTAGTGATTTGGTATAGTTTTATTAGTCTGGTCTAGTCTCAATAATTCTGATGATTTTGCCTGAAATTTAATTAATGATTTTCTGAATTAAGATGTTATATAAAGCTCTAAGGTGAGAGTAAAAGACAACTCAAGTGGTTAGAGATGAACCAGATGAAAGCAAGGTGATACCATTTAATTAATGTGGGCGGACTGAGGTTTGTAGTTTGGAGTTTAAAGCCTCAAGAAAAGGTGAATTTGTAATCTTGTTTTGTATAATATAAATTGAATTTTTATTCCCCAAATTATCTTTCGTTTTCCTTATTTGAAAGTCACAACTTTTTCTAATTCAATTAAAAAGTTCAGATAAGTATATTCGGAGAATAATTTATATTCAATAGCGCTCGATTTTATTCAACTTGGAAACATATGATCAAAATTTCCCAACACATACTAAAATTTCATATGAAACGGATAGTATTCTAAAAGGAAAAAGAAATACAATTTCCACAAAAATTCAACTCATCAAAAAGTTTATCAAGTTTCATTTTAAGGAAGATAAAAAGCTTTATTTTAGTATTAAGAGCAAATCCAAACTCTATTTTATTAAAAAGCAAACACTAGTAAATCCATAAATAAAACTGACCATATAAATTATCTAAGCTAGTGGTGGCTGACGCAAAATGTTGTGGAAAAATGGGATTTGTTGAGTGTCTCCTAATAATAGGACAAACTAAATGACCAATTACTATCACTAAGCAGTTTACCAAGTTAAGATTACAAAACAAAAGCTCATAAAATTTGTTCAAAAAGCATATAATAAAATATATAATATGGTAGTAAAAGTACAATTATGTGGAGAATCGATGTTGCTAGATGATGTTAAAGTCAATTTGCTCTAGCTATAGTGATTTCCAGTGCATAAAAATGATGCATATGGATAGTTGGTAAAATATAAACATTTGTTATCTTTTTTTCTAAAGTGCTAGGAAATGCAATAATTTGTTATCTCAAGAAATCTAGAATAGAAATAAATTTGATCTTCTTTAAGCTTAGGCGTTTAGCTAGAGTGGATGTTGTATCTTAAGAAGGTAGATTGTTTTCTAGTGCATTCGGTCGTTTTCCATTTGTTAATGAAAGTTTAACTCGGTTATTGTAAACTCTTACATTAGCTTGCTTTTAGAGTTAAGAAAAAAGATTAATTAGTTGTTTAATAAAATGGTAAAAATAAGAATTAAAGATTGTTGTGGAGTAAAATGATGATGGATTGGTGAGTGTAAAAAATATTGATCATCAAAGATATGTCTTTAAAATCGTGCAAAATAAAATAGACACTATAATATGGGATAATGGGAGTATATTATGTATGTATAGTATGGCCTATATTTAGAAATTAAATAACGATTATATACTTTTATTTTCACACTAGTTAAAAAGTAATATATTATTTAAGCATTAATAACTCTAATTAATTATTTATTAAATTATTAAAAGTTGATATTTTGCAAATGTATGGTATATTAAGTTGAAATCAACAAATTCTTACATGATTTTATTTTTTATTTTTTCTTAAATACAAATCAAAAACAATGATTAGAGTGAAATTTATTAGTATATGTTGTCTGATCTGAATTTTGATCGAGTATAACCGTGTTAATTTGAAATCGAAAGAGTATTCAAATACAAATAACATGAAGTACGTTAGCAAAAGTATATAAATGTGGAGAATCGAAGTTGCTAGATGATGAATTGATGATGTTAAAGTCAATTAGCAATAGCTATAGTGATTTCCAGGCCAGTGCATAAAAGATGCATATGGATAGTATGTTAAAATTTGAACATTATTCAACTTTTTAAAATGTGCTCTATTTATAATCATTATCTTAACAAGGCTACAACAGAAATAATTTTGATTTTCTTTAGGGTTAGGAGTTTAGGGTACGGTAGATCAAGGTTGTATTTTTGCAAGATTGGGTGTTTATTTTTTAGTGCATTTGGTTGTATTTCTTTTGAAGATATTGCATAATTGAAACCTCTTTTGTATATTAGGGTGCAATGGAGTATTTGGTAGAAATTTCTCTAGAGTGCATTTATAATGTTAACGTATGAATGTATAATAATATAAATCAATATACAAAGTATAAGGAAATACGAAGTATATATTGATGCAGATCTGGGTGCGTGCTTTAATATACTCAACTTATTTTGGCTTATATTTACTTATTCTATTTGCAGTTGTCTTAATAACTACTCTATATTTTAATTTAATGTATCTAAACTTATTCTTTCTCAACTTTTTTGAATTTATCACACCTCAACTATTTAGTTGATAACGTCAAATAAATTGAGGAGAATATAACTTTATAATATTGTTCTGACATGACTCTATGTAATAATCTTAAACACAAGTTTAGTGGAATTAGTTCTCTCTAGGTTTCTCCTTGGGAGGGTGTTTTCCTAGTTTTTGCTAGGGTTTTCCCAGTCTTTTGGGTTTTCTTTCAATCTTCTCTCTTCTCCCTTTTTTTTCTCCTTCATCCTTCTCTCCTTGATCTCCCTCGTGAATATTGGTAGGGGCTAATGGGCTACCACTGGTTCCTTGATCAGTGGTAAGCCCCAAAATGCCTTTTTAATCGCTTATAATAATAGATCCCATCCTTACGATGGTCTTGATTGGTGTAGATGATTTCTCTTTTGCTATCGAAAGTTCTAATTTGTTGGTGGTGGTTCGTGCGGCATTGAATCAGCTGTCAGATCAACGACTACAATTAATTGGATCAGTCTCTGTTCAATTCAAAAACTACCAAAGATCGCAAGGCCCCCTTGTAGAAGAAGGCTACAGAGGACAACGATTCATGGGACGAGGGTATTCATCAATGTCAATTCTCACTCGCGATCGTAGTTTTACAGAATTAGAATTGTTATTTGATTCAATTTTCAATGTATTAATTGTTTCTAATATCTTTTGTAGATGTCGTATGACTTCTTATTAATGAATTGATCTTTCCTTAGGAAAAAAAAAAAAGTATAGAACCCTTGTGAATCTCATAATTTCAAATTCATAC